TAATTATTACCGGTTTTCCATTTGTATTTTTCGCTTTTTTATCCACAGGACACGGTAGCACAATAACTGATACTCATTAAAAAACACAATCTCAAAAATGAACTGCAAACTTTAATTAAACTTCTTCGTTGACTAATTTTCAATGAATTTACTCTAAGGAAGACGAAAATATGCAAATTTTTTCGACGTCACACAGCAACTGTTATAAAAACAATAAACTTTCACGGGAGATTAGTTTATTTTCAGTGTGCTCGGTATTGCTAATCAGGATGTCATTACGTTTACCAGATCGAGCGTTGTTAGTAAAGTTAATCTATCAAAACGATATATAACTCCGCAATAGTTGCTCTACGGAAATTTCGGACTTTAAAGGGATGCAAAAAGGTCAATTGACTACTAAAAATCTTCGTTTTATGATAACCAAATTTGAAGAAACAGGATCGTTGAATGTTCGTTCTGGAAGAGCAAGAAAACCTGTTTCTGCGGAAGTAATAGATAAAGTTGCACTTCAGGTAGAGAACAGGACAAATCATCCAACGTGCAGGCTAGTACAAGTGTTCGTCGTGTGGCAGAAGCATTGGATCTGCCTGATTCAACTGTCCAGAAGATCATGCGAAACATCCTCCATTACTTCCCATATAAGCTTCAACTTGTACAGGAATTGCTTCCACATGATTTCGAGACTCGACATCTGTTCTCACTGCAGTTTCTTGCTCGTTTAGAAGTTGATCCAGAATGGCCTTGGAATATCCTCTGGACAAACGAAGCACACTTTCATTTAGACGGTTCGGTGAATACTCACAACTGCCGATTTTGGGAAACAGACAATGCGCATTCCACCTTTCAAGTTCCGCTACACTCACCAAAAGTAACGGTGAGGTGTGGGTTTTCACGTCTTTTATTCTTTGTACGAATTTTTTAGAAGAAATATGTACTGGGGGTCTAGTAACATGTTCTATCACTGGACAGCGATATGCATCGTTATTACGGAATAAAATTATTCCGGATCTGCAATCACGCCAGCGCCTTTCACGCATACATTTTATGCAAGATGGAGCTCCTCCACACATTACACGTTGTGTGTGTGTGTGTGTTAAGGGCGTTCTCAAACATCACTTCACAGAAGAACGCGTGATCAGCCGCAAATTTCGTCATCTGTGGCCTCCCCGATCGCCTGATTTCAATCCATGCAATTTTTGGATTTTGGTCCATTTAAAACTGCGGGTAAGTTGTGATCAACCAAGAACTTTACCTATCTCAAAGACAGTATTTCACGACATGTTCTTAATATTTCCCAGAACACACTGCGGTCAACGGTGGAGCATGCTATCTTACGATTTCAAATAGTAGTTGAAAATAAGGGTCGTTATGTTGAGCATTTATTGTTGTAACAAAATTTGCAAACTTTTATAAATGTATGCTAAATATGATTTCCTTTAAATGAGAATTCAATGAAAAATTCCCGTCTACACCACAAATAAAATTCCATATAAGAAATATTTCTATACCAAGGACACAAAGTGTATCTCATATAAAAAACACTAACTTATAATCTTCCTATAAGAATTAAAAGTATATGCAAATCTAAGTTAGAAAAAAGAATATATATATATAATATATATATATATATATATATATCAGTGTCCGTACAGCTAACGGGTAGTACTAGTTATGGCCAGCTTCAGGTACCCCATCCAGTGTACGGGCAAACCAGTCAAAGGGCTAATTTAAAATATGTTACTTCTTAAGTTGCATGTTTTTGGTCTTTTTTTTTATTCAAAAGCCTCTTAATTTACCATTTCGTGGGCGCAGTAGCTTTGTGGTTAAGGTTACGAACTCATGGCCGGCGTGTCATAAATTCCAGTCCTATTACCCCCATAGAAGTACGGTGTAGAGGATTTGATGCATGTTAAATTTGTCTACGCTTAAAGTCTTTCCGCTAACGTGAAGGGGAAGTTCCGGGAGAAGTGCCACATTAGGTGTCATCCTCATCACTTGACAGTGGCTCACAATTATGATATCCACCACCAATAGCCATGATGTAACTTTGAGAGAGGGTGAGTGAATATTAGAGTCGCCTTGTTCAGCTAAATGATAACTTTTGGTGACGTACCTCATAAATTTGAACCATGGTCGAGTGACGAGACCCGAGCTCAACCTCCTCTCCTAACTATCACACCATACCGACGAGAGGATGTTTGAGCTCTCGACAGATTTAACGTGCATCTTCCTCTACACGTCGGGTCTTCAGATGTACTGGTCTCAAACTCATGATCCCCCAGCCACTAGTTCGATACCCTGACATCTTGTCTACCACAGCCTTTGAGAGAGGGAGTCAGTGAGTGAATATTAACGTCGCACTATTCAAGTACTCGAGATCTTTTGTTTTACGCACCTCATAGTTTTGAACCATGGTCAATTGACAAAAATAACCCTTGAGCTGTAGTAACCATCTCTTCAAATTTCCCCACCACATCAATAGGAGGAGGTTTCAGCTTCACCCGATTTAATCTGCATTCCCCCTACAATGTGGATCATGGTATTAGGCTCGAACTTATTATGTACTGGTCATGTGTCCGTTACATTGACCACTGAGCTACCGCAGCTCCTTCATGTATCTTTGAAATGAGTTAATAATCACAGTCATCTAAATTAATTCGGAAGAATATAGTTGAGATCATTTGCTTGATAGAGGCCTCCCTATCGAACTATATTCCGTATATAAGGCACGGAAAAACAGGAAGTTAGCACAATTTTTCTGTTCCTTTGAAATTCGTCTACTCTTTATATCCGAGTATATTAATGCTATATCCAATTAATACTAGTAGTAAAAGAAGCGAATGTGTTTATCATAAACTTTCAAATTAAGAGGTATTAAAATGTCGGAGACTGGCCAAGGTCTCGAACACGTGTCCGATGTTATTTCTATCTACTTATGTGGATTACATTCCCTCTGACAATAAATACTCTGTGTAGAGAGACTGACGTACGTTTAATATGCCAGGACTCAAATATCTTCACGTTAAAATGGTAAGGAATAAAGAGAGTAAATCGCCATTAAAGGTCTCTACCACATTCGTTGAACTAAATATCAAATGTATGAAATTCTTCACCTAAAATCAATTATTTGTAATGGATATGGAAATGCGTTTTTGATTTGCGTCTTTCAGTATGACCATTAAGTAACTTTTGTCCACATAGATTTAATATATTCGACTTCACAGTGTTCTTCTCTGTTAAAGTTTCATGATGTTCTTCAAAATCTTGCTTCTGTTTAATATGAAGACAGGGCTGATTGTATGAAAACTTATTTGTCTTACGTTCTTCATCACAAATATAACACTTTCTTGTTTCATCCATTTTTAAAGTGCTTCTCACTTGTCTTGCTTAAAACACAGCACTCGTAGCTAAATTAATGTTTCTCTCTTGATAAACTTATGCGGAAAGTACATACACACATTGCTTTATATCGAACGTTCCATAAATGACCCTTTTTAGAGAACTTTTTTCGTTTTTATATGGCTTGCAGATAGCTAATGATTAATTTCGATTCGGATGGCTAAATTTGAAATAAATATATACAGATATTCCAAAATAAAAACAACGACACACCTCTTGAAAAGTATACTTTAAAGTAAGTATAGATATATAGATATGAAATGTAGAACTTCTAAATGGACAAAGATAGTCCCTGGAGACATTTCGAAGGGAAATTTAGTCCTCTTGTACTTTTGACTGGGGTTTTATGGAATTAAAAAAGAAACATAACATTATTATATCATTTTTTTGTAAAATTTTATGCAGCTTATATACATATATATATATAAATATATTAGTATTAAGCATAATTTTCAGTTTGGAACCTGAAAAGCTTTTTCATTGAATAATATTTTGGAACATTTAAGAAGAGAATATCGAAAGTATATTTTCTTCCTTTTAAATCTTTTCGATCTGTAATCACTTAAACCTTGTCAATCAGGACTGTTATTATGGTCATGGTTTCATAGTTTTGGAGATTCCATTCACAGATTTTCAGATTTCGATTTTTAAAAAAATTAATTATTCTCAATTTATGAAACAAAGAGAAACTCAGATGTTCGGACAGATATTCTCAAATGTGTAATTAAAGTAAATAATTAAACTGAAATATTTGAAATTAAATTAGAAACTGAAATTTGGTTATTAAAGGTTTTAATTTACCTTCCTTCAGCGATTAACTTTATATAATCTGATTCAATCTTCAATATTTTTTCCTATAGAACGAATCGCTGAAAAGCAAACCAACCGTTAGAAAAAATTTATGGTCTGAAATTATCCGGTAAAGTCGCAAAATCTTTGCTTCTGTATTTAGATTTAATGGATGCGCATCAAATGATAGCATTCATTTTTTCATACGTATTATTATTAAAAAAATTTTCTTACGAAATAAGCAATTTAAGTTTGTTCATTTGCATTTGTTTACGTAGATTTGCAATTTCTATTATCTTGGTCGCGGTTGATCAGTGGTTATGGTAACAATTTCATGGCTGGAGTTTTGAGGAGTTTGAGTGTTAGTGTGTTAGTTCAACTAGAGACAAGGGTTTATACTCTTTAGATCAGTCGAGTTCAAAGCTTTCCCGTTGGTGGGGTGTGTCAGTTAGGCAAGGGATCGTCTTCGTTTCTTGACTGAAGCTCAAAATACGAGGTCGTTAAACGAGAGTCCTTAAGTGGCTTTATAATGTGACGAAAATAAAACTTTCAGAATTTATATTCTTTTTTATCTCTTGAATTATATAAAAAGCAAGAATGAATAAATTTTGTCGGGTGAATTTATATTAACGTCGCATTCTTCAGATACTCGAGGGCTTTTTGTGTTGGACTTCGCAATTTTGAACCATGCTCAAGTCACGGAGACGTGAATAGAGCTAGTACATTCTCTCGAAGCTAACACATTCCGCCAAAAAGTAGGCGTTTGAGCCACGACATATTTAACGTGCAATGGTGCCTCTACACAGTAGGACTTCAATGGCATAAGGCTCGAACTCAGGTTACGTCATACAGGAGCACGTGACCATAACCACTAGGTTACCACGGATGCGAATTATTTGTTGAGAAAGTTCCTATTGTACACTCTATGAAAACAAAATAGTCAATACTTCTGGCAGAAAATGAGAGATGTTGATGGTCTATACAGCATTGGAACCGATCGATTGAACCGAATTCCTCAGACATAATTTTGTACAAATGACCTTTTAGGAGGACGATGATGTTATGATCCATGCATTTAATCCTGGATATAAAAACAGTTTTAAAAGAATAAAACAAATTGTTTTGCAATTCGTGAAGATCATTGACAATTCTTGAAAAGTCATTTAGTGTGTAGTGAATTTAGTGTACAGTTATTTAGTTTTTTTTTATTTTGCTAAATCCATTTCATTCAGAGAGAGAGTGGGGTTTAAAGAATAAGGTTTGCAAATTATTTAAGAATGTAATGAATTAATACTGCTGCTTTCATTTCTAAACAATTGTTTTCAACAGCTACCAGTATACTCATGCCCACAATGAAGGTCACAAACTAATTTTTCGTCATAATTTTAAAATAACTACAGTAAAACTGATAGCGCATTTGTATATTTTGAAGAATAGGTAGTACAATATGAACCTTTAGTTGAGAAAATATATTGTTTAGCTTTAGTGTTTTCAGAACCCCTCGTTTGAGTCCGTTCAAGGATATCATAATTTTTCCTAGACTTATGAGAATATTACTTTAAAACAAACAAATTATTCTCTGTTTGTGGTGAGAATGATTTCTCGGAATCGTTTAGATCAGGGGTCACCAAACTTTCCAGCCTTAGGGCCATACTGATTACTCCAGTAAGTTCTGAGGGCCAAAACCATATTATCATTGTGTCCGGTGGTAAAAAGTGAAATAGTCCACTGATGGGAAAAAAAGTCCGAAAAAGTACGCAACGTTTAAAAAAGGCTGCAAATGCAAATCGGACTAAAGTCCGCAAAACGGCAACACGGCATATTATTAATTTTCCTGTCATTATCTGTAATTTCTAGATTAGTCGTAGAGTACGAGCCATGAGGAGTAACGTGACACGACATCTGGTGGACACAAGCGGAAATAGGTAGTACCTTCTATCGCTAACCGATGGCGCTAATAGCACGTACAGAATAATCTCGTTGGTTCGAGAAAGTTCTGGTGTCTTCCACTCACTTCTAGATGGCAGTAATTGGAATATATAAGAAGGTTAGTGGCGCAACCACAAGTCAGTTCTTATGACACTGTTGTGAAATAAAATAGTGCGTACCTCCTTAAAAAACGTGTTTGTGCGTGTTTAAGTTTAAGACATCTTTGTAACAGTATTTTGATTTGAATTGCTGCTTTTGTGTGTGATTTAGTAGTATGGAAAAGAAGCGAAAAATTGATAGTGAATGCAGAAAATTCAAAGATCAGTGGAACATTCAGTATTTCGTAATTGAGTCCAGTAACAAGGCGATATGTTTGATTTGCAATGAAAGCATAGCCGTTCTCAAGGAATATAACATTAAACGTCATTATGAAACAAAACATTTTCAAAATTACTCAAAATATACAGGAAGTTTGCGGACAGAAAAATTCGAAGCTATGAAGCGCGGATTGAAATCGCTGCAATCTTCATTTACAAAACTCAAAACTGAACAAGAGGCTGCAACTCGTGCCAGCTTTCGTGTGGCTCTTGAAATTGCAAAACGTGGAAAACCATTCACCGATGGAGAAATGATCAAAGAATGCATAATTGCAGTTGCCGAAGAAATGTGCCCTGAAAAGGTAAATTTATTAAAAACTGGTCAGTATGTCAGCAAACACTGTGGCTCGAAGGGTAGAAAACATCACTGAAAATATATCCTCTCAACTGTTCGACAAAAATGGACATGTTGAGTGGTTTGCTTTGGCCTTGGATGAGTCAACGGATGTGTCAGATACTGTTCAGGTGTTGATTTATATTCGAGGAGTAGATAAAAGCTATGAAGTGCATGAAGAACTTCTTGATATGTATAGTATTCATGGCACAACTACTGGTAGAGATATTTTTAAAGGAGTTGAAATGGCCATTAATCAAAAGAACCTTCGATGGAAAAACTTTAAATGTATTACAACTGATGGAGGCAAAAACATAAATGGGAAAGATAAAGGAGTTGTCGCTCTTGTGTCAAAGGCTGTAGAAAATGACGGTGGTTCAAAACCATTAGTCTTACATTGTATCATTCATCAACAGTCTTTGTGCGGAAAATGTTTGGATATGTCTGAATTTCTGAAACCAGTCATATCAACTGTTAATTTTATCAGATCTTTTGGACTGAATCACCGACAATTCCGACAATTTTTTGAAGAGATTGGAGAAAATGACTTACCTTATCATCCTGCCGTACGTTGGCTTAGTTGTGGGAAAGTCCTTCAGCGCTTTTTTGAACTTCGAGCAGTGATCGAAATTTTTTTGAATGAAAAGCATCGCCCTCTTACTGAATTACAAAACAACGCATGGCTGTGAAAGTTAGCATTCTATGTTGATTTGACAAAACATGTGAACGAACTGAATTTGAGATTGCAAGGAGAAAACCAGCATTTTTCTGATTTATACACTAATATTAAATCATTCCGGAAGAAATTGATATTGTTTCAATCACAACTACGAAGTAAATATTTTTCACATTTTAAAACATGTGAAATATTCAGCCACACCACTGAGACTGAGTTTCCTCTCGATTTTGCAATCGAAACTTTGAGTGCTTTGAAAATAAATTTTGATACTCGTTTCTCAGACTTTGATGCCATTGCGAATCAAATTAAGATTTTTCAGAATCCTTTTGATACTGACATTGAAATCCTAGGCCCGAAACTTCAAATGGAAATGATTGATCTACAGTGCAGTGATATAATTAAGAACAAATATCAAAACTCTTATTTGTTGGAATTTAATAAGTATTCCACTGACACAATTTGATAATTGGCATAAATTTGCTCGTGGGCTGTTTTTCTGTTTTTGGTACTACTTATTTGTGTGAGAAGACCTTCTCAAAATGAAGTACATAAAAAATGTTTTACAGATCAAAATTAACTGATGAGCATCTTAAATCTCTTTTAATAATTGGTACAAGTAAAATTAGTCCACAACTACAAAACTATTATCAGTGGAAAACCTCAATTACATAAATCTTATTAGTATTTCATATGACATTATGCTTGTTATAAGTTATGTTTTATTTAAAATGTATAAAATGTTAGTTGGATTCATTTCAATAATTTGTTAGTTATTATATACTGAAGTTAAATTTTCTGCATATTATACATGTCTTTACTCATTACAATTCCGTGTTTCTTTATCCAACTTATCACAAAACAATAACAATAAGCCTACAACTATGTTATGAGTAGTAGCCCATGACTATATCAATGTAGATGTCATATTAATAATTATTCAACATAAAATTAGAATACTTCAGTAAACTAAATTTAACTTGCTATAAAAATATGTTCTCTAAAAGGAGTTTTCAAGTGTGCTAGCTCTCCGCGGCCGGACAAAATCTGTCCGCGGTCCGGATGTGGCCTTCGGCCGTAGTTTGGAGACCCCTGGTTTAGATGATAATTGAGATGGAGAGCGAATTGCAGGCTTGTAGCTGGTCAGTCGCAAGTGGATGTGGCTCGATGGTAATAAGTGCCGTTTTCCCTCTCCCCACAAAAAAAGTGTTCTTCCTGTTATGGAATCAATTCTGAATATGGGGTACGAATCATCTAGGAAGGTCAACGAAGGTCGACCACATAGCATCAACATCTGCACAAGATCGTGACTTGGTATTTAGTGCACAATGACATAGGCGGAAAAGGGCTCTTCATCTTGCTAGTGAACTTGCTACTGTGTCTGGAAGAAGAACATCCAAGCAAACAGTAGGGTTTCCCAAACTTTTTTGTCTCATAGAGCCCTTGACATGTTTTTCGGTTTTTGTTTAAACCCCTCTGCTAAATTAATATGGAAATTTTTGCACATTTATTAACTTAAGATGTATTTTTGACATTTGGTACTACCACTCCTTTACTTTAAAGAATTAACTTTCTGTAATGAAGTAAGTTGTAAAAAAATGAAAATGCACAGGTCAATTAATTAACTTAAAAATTAATTAACCTGTGTTCTTTTAACCTTTTTCCTTCTCTGTAGTGTACAGTTTTTTGTGTGTGTTTGTTTTTGGAGATTGGCAACCGCGCTAAAATTTCTTATCACTAGAAAAATCGATGAAAAACTTCCTCGTGATATTCCAAAAGTTGGAAAAAAATAACAGGTTTGTTTTTTTATAATCAAAATTGCTAGCATCTGTTTTTAAACTTTAAAATATTTGTTAGTGCTTATTAAGACCAGTTGCTATTGTAAAATGACACTTTTTTCAATATGAATATAAGGCTTCATTGACTACTATGGTATTACCATAGTAAAAATTTTCTAAAACTTGGTTTCAAAATCTGAATAAAAGGCATTTAAATGTTGAACGTAGGTTAAATTTTTCTGACAAATTGTATGACAAATTTAGAAATTCGAGACCTCCAGTGTACTTCTAGCTTAAATACGGAAATAAAAGGTGAAAAATAGGTAAAATCAGTAAAATTTGGTTTCTATTTATTATAAACTTTAAAAAAAATTAAAGTCACGATCTAGTTTACTGAGAACCATTGTCATAAACCCCCACTTTCAACTCATGGTCCCCGAAATCAATGTTTGGCGGACGTAGACTCTTTGGAGGTCATCATAGATCACTAGAGGTCTATAAGAAACTTTGGGTGACAGCCTTCTTGTAGAAACTTCCTTTACAATCGGCATCCACTCTGGCGCGTCCCTTTGACTGAATCCAGCAGGAAAGACCAAACATTGTGCAGCTCTAAAATTAGTCGTGTACACTCCAAGAATGAAGGCGTGTTCCTTTCAAAGATAAGTCGTAATGTACCAGTTAACGCGATTCTCCTCAAGATTTCACCTAGAAAAAATGGAACTAGCTTCCATCTCTCCTACGTAAGGAATATCGACACCATAGGTGGCGAAGAAATCATAGTGAGTATTTGCA